CAGAAAGCGCAGCCTCAGCCTCAGAATTCCCAGGCCCCAATATTCCACAAGCTGAAGTTTTAAGGGGGCAGAGGCTCCTGAGGGCATCCAGCCCTCTCTTTGTCCCCATCGTGAGTTTACTAACTGTGAGAATCTGGACAAGAAAAGGAAGACCCCAACCCTAGCAGAAAGGCCTGGAATCTGAGGACAGAACTGAGGGGGGTGGTGGCAAATATAGGCTGCCCTCCCCTTTCGGGGTACTTGATTCTTAACTTTCTTTCACAGCTTCACTGAGATTAAGTCACATATCACACAACTCACCCTTTTAAAGTGTACAATTCAACGGCTTTCGGTATATTCCTTGATGAATTGTGCAATCATCACTCTTAGTACATTTTTGTCACCCCAGAAAGAAAGCCCACACCCCTGAGCCATCACGTCAACCCTTGCACCCCACCCCCATCCTTAGGCAACCACCAATTTGCTTTCTGTCTCCATGGATTTGCCTATTCTGGACATGTCATGTAAATGGAATCACACAGTATGTGGTCCTTGATGACTGTCTTTTCTCACTTAGCAAAATGTTTTCAAGGTTTATCCACATTGTAACTTGTATCAGCCCTTCATTCCTCTTAATGGACATTATAACACATTTTGTATATTCATTCATCAGCTGATAGACATTTGGGTTGTTTACGCTTTGTGGCTGTTATAAATAGTGCTGCTATAAGCATTTGCATACAAATTTTTGTATGAACATGTTTTCTTTTTGGGGGGTACATACATATATACCTAGGATTGGAATTGCTGGGCCATATGATAACTCTATGTTTAGCCTTCTGAGTAATTGCCAGACCGTAGGAATGCATCGTTTTACATTCCTACCAGCAGTGAATGAGGGTTCCAATTTTTCCACATCTTCAACAACATTTGTTATTATCCACTTTTGAAAAAAATTCTAGCCATCCTAGTGGGTGTGGGGTGGGGGTAAAGTAGCATCTCGTTGTGGTTTTGGTTTGCATTTCTCTGATGGCTAATGATGTTGAGCACCTTTTCTGGTTCTTATTGGCCATTTGTATATCTTGGGAAAAATGTCAATTCGGGTCCATTGTTCATTTATGAATTGGATTATTTGTCTTTTTATTATATAATGGTAAAGGTTTTTTGTATATTCTAGATACAAGTCTCTTGTCAGATATATAATTTGCTAATTTTTCACATTATGTGAATATTTTCACTCTTTTGTCCTTCAAAGCACAAAAGTTTAAAATTTTGTTAAATTCCCACTTACGTGTCTTTTTTCTTTTGTTGCTTCTGCTTTTAGTGTCATACTAAGAATCCTTTAGATTCTTTTGATTATCGCATAAACCTAAGGTCATGGAGATTTATGTATACATTTTCTTCTAAGAGTTGAACAGTTTTAGCTCTTATATTTAGGTCTGTTATCCATTTTGAATTAACTTTTGTATATGATGTTAGGTAGGGGATCAGTTTTATTCTTTTTCATGTGGATATCTCATCCAAGCATCGTTTATTGAAAAGACTATTCTTTCTGTATCGAATTTTCTTAGCATGTTTATGAAAAGTCAACTGACTATAAATGTGAGCGTTTATTTCTATTCCATTGATCTATATGTCTATCCTTATGCTGGTACTAGACTGTCTTGATTACTGTAGCTTTGTAGTAAGTTTTGGAATCAGGAAGTGTGAGTCCTCCAATTTTGTTCTTTTTTTTCTTTTTAGTTAAAGTAGAGTTGATATTCAATATTTTATTAGTTTCAGGTATACATAGTAGTGATCAACATTTATATTCTTTACGATGTGATCACCACAATAAACCTAGTAACCATCTATCACCGTACAGTTATTACAATAGTATTGACTATTTTCTCTATGCTGTACATTATATTCATGAGACTTTTTTAAATAACTGGAGCTTTGTACTTCTTATTCCCTTCACTCTTTTTACCCATGCCCCCACCTCCCTCCTCTCTGGCAACCATCCGTTTGTTCTCTGTATCTATCAGTCTGTTTCTGTTTTATTTTTTCGTTTGTTTGTTTTGTTTGTCTAGATTCCATATATCAACTTTTTTTTTTTCCAAGATCATTCGGTATTGAGTGCTCTTTTATAAATGTTTTCCCCCATCTGAGAAATGGGTGAACTTCTCTTATAAATGTCTACAATGGTTGGAAAATACAACAGAGAAAGATAAGTGACCTATGATATATATATATTTCTAGGGGCCACCAAGGAAAGCTGCTTACGTCAAATCCCCACCTTGTCCCTGGATCTACAAGAAAGCGGCCAGATGAATCACAGCGAGGTCTTTTCCTGTCTGTCTCCTCTGGTCTGTGAGCTCTGTGAAGGCGGAGCAGGGTCAGTCTCCTCTCTGTGGCCCCAGCATCCGGCTCCTGGCATCTGGTAGGTGCTCAATGCCATCTTTGTTAGACTGAACTGAAAGTGCCCTGAACATTATAAGACCTGGCTGCCCCTGGCACAGAGTGATGATTCCTTTCAAAGTTCAGGAGAGGAAGGTTTCCTACCTGTGGCAGCCACATGGCAAGGCCCAAAACAGTCACCGTGGGCCACCTTCACAGTGCTTGGCTTCCAGAGCAGAAGTGATGGAACTTGGTGCCGATGGGAGACACTACCCCAAAGTTCAGCTCTTGAGAGCTAATCCTAGATGCTCTCAAGGGGAGGGGATAGAGAAAATTTGAGAGTACTCAGTGAATAAGAGATTTGGGATTCTCTGTGCCACACATTGGACCTGACACACTGTAAGTACTCAATAAATTGTCGTGGAATAAATGAGAGAATGAGAAGGATTTTTGAGACTCTGACTATGGTTAGGCCTTGTATCTCCTATAATATTCTGTGAGAAAGTCAAGGTAAGATTGGGATTCTTTTTAAATTACTTATGTTGACCTTAAAATGGTCAGTTATTTTTACCAGCAAAAATTAGATTTATTCAGGAATAGCAGATAATTGCAAAGCAGAACGAGCATGTTATAGCAAAAGCTATAGGCAAGTCCAGCAAACAAGTGAGAAAAATTTTACAGGAAAAAAAAGGAGGAAGTTGGGAAGGGGTACTTCGAATGACGTCCATCGGGAGAAAGTGGAGTTTAGGGTGGTGATGGCTTCCCATTGGCTGAGCTTGTTGCTGAGGAAGGAGACACATCTTCCTCCTGCTGGAGTAGTAGAAATACTTGTTGGGAATGCAAGGTAGTCTTTTCCTGTTGGGTTCCTAATTGAGGTGGAATGGTAGTTCGTGAGAAATCCTTCTTCTGGCCTCCTGACTCCATTTTAAGTAAAGTTTCTTTGTTCGGTTTCACACTCGTGTTATTAAACGTCGCTTCTTTGACTACAACTCTTTGTTGAGTCCAGGCCACGTGGGCCCTGGGCACATGGCAGGTTAGGATAAGGGTGTCAAGGTAGGGGCATCACATTGAGCGTGGTGGGTCAAGTAAGGATTTCTTTTGGAGAAGAAGGCTCGGCCAAGTCTTACAGAGTCAGGAGAAGGAAGGACATGCTGGAGCGGGGAAGAAAGTCTGAGACTTCGGGGTGAGCTGTGGAAATAGCTTTGAATCTCAGCCAACTGGGCCCCAGGTGTAACTGTTGAGACGATGAGGCTGACCCACGACCAAAGGTGGAGTCTGTATTGACTTTTTCTCTGCAGCTCCTGAGACCTTGAGGGAGGAGGACGTCCCCAGAGAGCCCTGGTCCTCATCAAGCGGATTTCTGGGTTCGACCGCCGCACGTCTTGAGCCAGGGCCGCCAGCAGAGGGCGAGCGGGCGGGCGACGAGGTGCTGAAGCCCGCGAGCTGCCGCTCTAGCCTGACCTAGGTCATAGAGTCGCACCGCTTCCGGCCCCCCTCCCCCGGCTGGGAAGGAGCCGGAAGTCTGGCGGGCTCCGGGCACCGAGATGGAGGAGGGCGAGTACGAGTCGGTGCTCTGCGTCAAGCCAGAGGTCCACGTCTACCGCATCCCGCCGCGGGCCACCAACCGTGGCTACAGGTGACCGTCCGCCGCCGGGCCAGGCTGGTCCCGACTTAACCCCTTCCCCGCCCCCCCGACACGCCCACTGTGGGAGCCGAGGACAGCCACGGCCAGTTTAGGGACGAGGGGGGAGGTAACGCTGCGGTTTCTCCCGGTTCGTGGCCAGAGCAGGGCGGGGAGCCCAGGCTTTCGGCCGTCTCGGTTCCACGCAGCGGGCTCCTGGCAGCGGGGAAGGCGTTAAAGCGGTGTCTAGCGCTTGGGGACCCGGTGAGCTGCCAGGTACCCTAAACGTGGTGTGGAGTGGTGGTGTCACAGACCTTTTTTCTTTTAGAGCTGACTGGCCTTGATAGGATCCTTGAAAAGCCTTAAGCGGGAGGGGACCTATCACAGGCGGAAATCCCGGAGGGGAAGGAAAGGAGCCCAGAACCGGCCAAAAAGACCGGTCCCGGGAAGTTTTCAGCCATCAGTTTTAAGCTGATGACGGAAGCCAGGGACCCCTCCCTGCCCTGCTGCCTGCGCGTGGACTATCTGATACCTTATCAGTGCCTGTGGCAGTTGGGAGGAATCCATCCCCGTTTCTCTGGAGCAATGTTCCTGAGACGAATAAACACATACTTGCAGAATATCTGGAGGGGATCACAGGAAACTCCCACGGGAGGGGAACGAGGGTTTGAAAGGGACTGACTGCCTTTCACTGCATACCTTTTTGTACTGTTTGCATTTTGTTACCATATGTATGTATTATCTATCAAGAGAAGATGAAAATATTAAAAGAAAAAAGATGTACCTGATACAGACAGCCTGGCCTATAGCTATTTTGTGCTGCTGGGCCAGAACAGGAAGCGGGGTGGCTCTTGAAGGCAATGTTTGTTCAAGTTATTTGGAAATACAGGATTGGCCTGCACCATAGGAATGATGGAGGGTCCACAGATCTGGCCTCTTGTTAATGTCCAGTTGGATTAACATGGGTTCATAGCTGATTTTGTAATGAACAAAGATTTTATTGAACACCTCCTACCTCCAGAACATAATTTTTAAATAGTATGAAAGTAACAATAACAAAAACACATTTGCCTTTCATCATCATACTGGAGATGGGGCACCAAACCCGGAATGGGCAGTCGTCTACCCTCAACCCCTTCAGTAAGGATGGGTTGGGCCCCTCTTGGACCCCCAGAGAGCAAGATTACCAAGTGTAAGGACTGGCTGGCTAGTTTGGCATACGGAAACTGTCAGCGCCTGCACTTCAACCTCAGAGCCCTGCTTAGCCTGAATCTAAGGCCTGTTGCCTTAGAGGAACTGAAACTAAGTCTGCTGACTTGTGAAGTGAAAATGTGCATTTATGAGCCCTTCCAAACAACCTGTGTCCACAGTTAACGATGTCTCTCAGAGTCCTGGCATATGCTTAGGGACTTCCAAGAAAAGCCTCTTGGAAATACCCAGGGTTCTTGTGTGGGGGTTTTACTGAGCGGCTTTTTAGAACTGTGAAGTTATTGCTTTAAAAGAGCTAAGAGAGGCCATTGTGATAGGTCCATGGTTGCCTGTTTTTTTTTTCTGCTTAGGATACCTTTGAAAATGTTTCTTGAACACCCACTCACTTTTTTCACGTGTACCATTGCTCTCCCTTTCTCTACTGATGACTGCTCCCCTCTCGTTTAAGATGGTCTCAGTGGTCCCAGATGGTCACTCTAACCACTGCAGCCTAGCAGTGTCTTAAACAAACAACAGGCCCCAGGAGCAGCTTCCTCTGCAAAACAAATAAAAAAATCTGGAAGTCCTATTTCAGAGAAGGTCTCTGTAATCTAGAACGGGGGTCAGCAAACTACAACCTACTACATTTGCATGGCTCACAAGCTAAGCATAGTTTTTACGTTTTTAAATGGTTGGAGAAATTTTAAAATAAGAGTATTTCGTGATGTGAAAATTCTATGAAATTCGGATTTTAGAGTTCATAAAGTTTCACTGAAATACAGCCACACTCAGTAGGAACCATTTGGTTAAAATACTGAAAGCACCAACACATTCATGTACTGTCTTTGGCTGCTCTCACTGTACAGCGACAATGAGTGGTGGTGACAGAGATCGTGTGGCCGTTTTCAGAGAAAGTTCACCAACCCCTGGCCTAGAGCAGGCAGCCACACGTGCTCCCCATCCCCAGCGTTGGAGTAATGGAGCAGGAGCCTTTGGCAGGGGCTCAGTGGTTTTTGTCCCCTTAGGGCTGCGGAGTGGCAGCTGGACCAGCCATCATGGAGTGGCCGGCTGCGGATCACTGCAAAAGGACAGGTGGCCTACATCAAGCTGGAGGACAGGACCTCAGGTAAAGGCAGGGAAGCCAGCGTGGGGCTGAAGGCCCATGCCTCCCACTCTGGGAAGGGAGAGGCAGCTCAGGCCTGGCCAGGCCCCTCTGTGGTCATGGGCACCTGTCCTGGAAATCGAAGACCTGAGTGTGCCTTTAAGCAGCCTTCATTTCCCCGACCTTTAGTTATAGTAACCACTTTCCCAGGTGTTAAAGCATTATTTCCTGTCAAACATCTGTTCTTTGGGGCAGTTCTTAAGAAAATACTAATTTTAGAGCTCAAGGAGAGAAGGCCTGTGGATTGGTCCCAAGTGGGAAGCCCCGGAGGTTGTCTTGAAACAAGTTGGGTGACAACGCACAGCACTCAGCTGCTGAGCTTGGGTTCTCACTCGGGAGAATTCTGTGTATTGCCCAACTGGTAACTCCCCAGATTGACCACGCCTGTTAACTGAAAGAGCTGCAAACTGTCCTATTCAGCCTTGTCTTTGGTGAAAGGACGAGCCACGCTGGGCTGTGTTGAGGTCAGCTGGCAGATGTCACTTTGGGGAAAATCTGTTTGAAAATCTCTTTAGAAGGCCACCAGTGCCTCTGGGTGAGCTGTGGCAGGCAGCACGACCTGGAATAGCCCTGGCCCCGGAGCAGGGGTTGGGCACAGTTCCTGCCTAGTGAATTGCCTCGG